CAGCTCCAATGTGTACGCAGAGAGGAAGTTGTAGGGTTTCTCTTACAAACCAGCCTAGCTTTAAGCAAGCACACAGGCTGCAGGTTGACCCCAGCAGCCATGAGGTAAAAAAGGTGTCAGTAAATAGTCATGCAGGGGCGGTCAGGTCAGAAACATCTGAAAATGATTGCTAAGGAAGCGCCATGACTCCTGCTTGCTGCGCTGTGGTTCCTTCATCTCTTCTTTGCTGGGCCATATTTTCATCACCCCTTTGCTGGACCATATTTTTCTTACCCAGTTTCCTAACACTGCATCTAAGGTTTCTGAGCATATGTAGCACAAGATGCATGAGCTGCAATGCACAGCTGCTAGTCCTAGCTGGAGCAGATTCCTCGTATCTTCATCTGTCCCCACTTAGAGCCAGGTCTGAGCATTCTTTTCAAATCTCTTTCGTCCAGGGCCTCGGTCCCACTCCACTCAGCATACCTGAGCTAAAGGCATGCCAAAGGGGAGGATGAAGAGAATTCTGATTCCTTTATTCCTCCTCTCCATCCTTTTGTGTGTCCTGATGCTCTATGGCCCCTCCCTGTGGTTAGGGTGGGGCATGCCAGGGAACAGACTGTGACCCCCGGAAGAGCAGCTCACAGCCTAACTCATCACTCCTGTAGCTTAAGCTACGCCAGAGATCCAGAAAGGTTAATCCATGGGATGGATCAACCAGCCAGAATGAGACAGACAAGATCCTAGCAGAGGTGGATGCACAATACACGTCCATAAATCAAGACACAAAATTATAGCAGGTAGCGATAAGTGCCAGGAAAATAAGAAAACAGAGTGTTGTCCTAGTGACTGGACCTCTCTGAGCAGTGGACAATTGAGCTGAGCCTGAAGGACAAGAAGCCAGGGGGACTTTCACTCCCGGAGGAGGGCAGAGGGAGAGCAAAGGCCCAAAGTCTGGAATGGACTTGGAAGGGCCTCGTCTTCTCATTTTGATTTAGGGCAGGAGGAGAAAGTCTAGAACTGGCTCTAGCCTCTGCTCTCCCATTTGCCAGCTGTGTTGTCTTAAAAACAACTCACTCAGGTTTGATTGTAAAAGGAGATTGTTAGGCTGGGAATTCTAGGACCCCGTCTAGTTTTAACGTCTGAGTCCACAAAGTGCTGTAATTGTCTGCCAGGAAGTGGTGACTCAGTGGTACTCACCTGGTACACGGCTTTTGACAAGTCCTTTAAGATGGCCCTGGGCATGATCCTCCTCACTGAAAATGACTATAAAGGCCATAATAAAATCACACCTTTAAGACATTTGGAAGGTGACCTGTGTGGAAGACAAATACTGATGAGCACCCTAACGGGAGCTGGGGACGCTAATGACCTTTTCAGTGATAACAGTGGCTTCTGCTGGAACGAACCTGGACACCTCACTCTCCAAAGGCTTTGCTGAAGGGGAACGTGAGGTATCTCCACCGTGTAAATGCTTATTCCAAAAAGCAGAGCCTGAAGCAGGGACTGTGTGCGGGCAGTTCATGTGAGAGGTGACGGGCAGAAGCGAGGGAGTGGAGGATGAGACAGGGACGGAGGGACACCCAGATGGGGTGAGTTATCCAGATCACTGCCATGGGGGAGGTGAGCTTGGTGCCACTAGGAGTAGCATGAGAATTGTCAGCTGAGGGAGCAGGGACTGGAGTATGTACTAACTAAGCGGCCTCTGGCTCCTGTTAGTTGGGGGTGGCCCCTGGGGATGTGAACTCCCCTGCCCTTCTGGACCGTCCTTGGGCTCGGGCCAAGCGTCTCCTGTGGTCCTGGAGAAGTTGGGGCAGAAAGGCGGGGCGGGGTGCTCTCGCAAGGGCGGCTGTCAGCCTGAGGTGAGTCTGAGCTCGCAGAGGATGAGCTGCCACAGCCACCACGCAAGTCAGAGGTGGGTGGCAGGGATGCGACACCATCACCAGAAAAAAAGGAAAGAAGCTTGGGCAGAATGGAATCAGAGAGATGGGGCTGCAATCATCTTCTGAGCTCCTTTAATTTATTCTGTTGCCCAAGATCCTGACAGATCCAGGTGGGAACCCAGCCCCGGGTAACTGAATCTGTGTAAAGGACGGGGGTGGGAGGCTGGTGGCCTCACAGAGATAAGTCGCCTTTCCTTTGGGAGATCTGACAAGCCAGAACACTTGGTCAAAGAACAATTTAATGGGTTAAGAAAGGCTCTCTTATGAAGGATGAAGGCGAGGTTTGATGCAATTAGTGTGTAATTGAAAGTAATGATGACAAAGTCCACAGCTTCCCACCATTTGACATAGCGAACAGGGCAGGAGGTGGTGTATTCAATTCTATGTTTAATTTTAGCAAACTGTGGTTTAAAAACTCAAAAATCACACAAGGTTAGAGACTAAGAGACAAGACATTCTAATCATAGGACGGAATAGGCGTCACTTCTCCCACAGCAGTCCCCATTCACTTAGCGAGGTGACACTGGGAGTGGAAATACGGAATGAAACAGAAAGAAAGAAAGTCTCAGAGGCAGGCGAGACTCTCTGAACTTCAGTTTTCTTCCCCTGTAAGTGGGGGTGGTGACGACACACTTCACAATTTGTCGGGAGGAATGAATCGGCCGTGTGGGAAACTGCTCCGTACGCTGCCTGGCATCATCAAATAGTATCATCAATCCAGAGTTGGAGGCTTAGTTGTTACATTTGGAATTGTTGAAATGATAAACACCACTCCACTCATTAAAAGAAGGAAGTACTGTTTATTTTGGCATTGTGGAGTGCAAAGAATTTTCAAGGAGCCGACAAGAATTAACAATATGTAAATAAATTTCTGGGTGCCCTGAGGAAGGGAACACATGTTCTGTCTCATCTTGACATTGCAGCTAACAACTTTGCTAACAACAGCTTTGGAATCCATGTTTTATGTTATTTTATTATTGTTTCTAGCAATCTTTCCAAAGCCCTACTCTGAATGAGGCCCAGCAAATGGCAGGGGACAGATGCCATGCAATGCTACACGCTTACATTTCATTTCCTTTGGCTATTTCTCCTTGCTTTCCGCTCCACCTCGCTGTTTGCGCTCATTTTCTCTGGGCATGCTTTATTTTTATCAGAAGATACTCACTTTGGAATCTGGTTCTTGCCTATTAATTTAATGCTTAAATTAAAACACTGTTCCAGATGTTGCAGAATTAGTCAGATGTTTTGAAATACAATTAACGGTCTTGAGATACAGTTTTGTAGAGTATTTCCGACATTTGATTTCAGGTATTTTTCCATCTCACTGAGTTCGAGTTGAGTGAATGTCGTTCTGACTTGTTGGGTGAATTAAAGCTGAAAGTTTCCAAAACTACCATTGGTTCAGGCAAAATGAAGCTTTGTTTTTGCATACTTGAAATATTTTATCGCTGCTATTCCTTACCCACAGCTTTAAGCAATCTCTAGGGTTTGTATTAATTCGTTGTGACATTGGTTTTTGCTCTCCCAAGGAACCTCAGATCTGGTACCCTTGTTAGTATAGTAAAGAAATGGGAAAAGGAAAGAAAGATTGAATGAGCCTTTCCTTATTACAAGGAAATAGATAGGGCATGCATAGCTTGGAAAGGGCATGCAAAGAGTCAGGGAGTTATAGACAAGGTGGCCAGCAGGCAGGTAATTTCATTGCAATCTAGGGCTTAGCTGTCAACCTTGCAGGCTAAGAAACAGGCACTAGGCTGAGAAAGACTGACTATAAAATCAGATTGCAAATTTATAAATCTACAGCGATAAAAAGAATTGTGATGATAACAGCTACCTTATCTTGAGTGCTTTCTATGTGCCAGACATCACACTAAGTCCATTTTCGGTCTGTTAGCGGACTTCCTGGGTTCAATCCCATCCCTGCCATCTACTAGTCTGTGGTCTTAGGCAAATTCCCTAACTTTGAGCAAGTTACTTGCCTATTTAAAACAAAGTGCTAAGAAGAATGCCTGGCACATCATAAATACTCTATTTGCCATTAATGTTAACTCTCATAGCACTCCTATAAGGTAGGTACCATTACTATTCCTCTTTTATGGTGAGGCAATGGATATTTAATGATGTTAAATCTGCTGAAGCTTCCATAACTAGTAAGTAGGCTACCAAAATATAATCAGGACAAGGAATCAAAATTGAATGTTTGAGCCTCCAGGGTAGAAAGAATACTCCTATTTATCTTCTCAATTGAGAAAGTCTTTTCAATGAGCTTATATTACTTAAAGTCTGTTGCCCTCATCTCTTTTCAAGGGTAGTTCTCAGAAAAGCATTGTCAACATTCATTCTGGGACTTCCCTTTTTTCTTGCCTTCGTGGCTGATGCTCCATGCTCCATGAATGGCGTATCATTCATATTGCGCCCAAGTACCATGGATGGCAGTGCTGTCCAACAGAACTTTCTGTGATGAAGGAATGTTCTGGATCTACTTTGTCCAATACAGTGGCCATTATCTGAACGTGTGGAGTTGAAAACTTAAAATGTGACTAGAGTAATTGAGGAACTGACCCTAATTTAATTTAAGTTGCTATATATGGCTAGTGGCTACTGTTTCAGACAGTACAGATCTCCAAGAGAAAAATGTATTTTTAGAAAAAAAAAATAACACAAGGCAGTTGATGATCTCTGAGAGAGAAGCAAAGGGATCCAATGAGTCTCACTAGGAGAACATTCTGTGGTCTGTGTGAATTTCACTCAGCAACAGGGGTTTCCTGGATCAGCTAAATTATTCTGCTCACTTCTTATTTAGTATAGATGTTTCTGAGGGCAACAGACAGGTTCATTTATTTTGGCCAGTGAAAAACTCAGTGGAGAATTCTTGAAATAGAAAATTCAGAAATTGTTTGTCTTGGTTCATATCCTTTGGGTAGCTCTTCTGCCTATCATCCTCTTAAGGCAAGGATAGCTCTGGGATTGTGAGGAGAGGAGAGTGGGATCAGATGTACACTGAGGTTAGAAGTAAACTGAAATATACCCATGGACCACTACTCACTTCCTCTTTCTTGCCAATCAGGACAAACGTACCTTAGTATTTCCACCATGGGATTTTGAGTCAGATGATCTGGGTTAAAGTCCTGGCTTCATCACTTACTAGCTGGATAGAGAAATCACTTAACCTCACTGACTTGCTGTTCCTCATCTGCAAAACAGGATTGGAGACAGTGGGCATCAGAAATAATACCTTTCTCAAAAGGTGCAAGGGGGGATCCAATGAGATAATGTATATGGAACCACTTCATAAACTAGTAAAGGCTATCGAAATGTCTTAGCAATGAGCATTATATTTATATAGATCACCTTTGCCTTTTAAAACTGCTTCCAGATTTATTATCTCCTTTTTTTTAATCTTCACAACAGGCCTATGAGGGAAGTAGGGCGGGAATCATTATCTACGTTTTACCATCTGTTAATGTAGACAAATGGGGTCCATGGAAGCTGAGACTCGCCTAGGGTTACACACAGTGTGTCCGGCTGCGTTATGCCTGGGCTCAACCCTGGACTTACTGAATCCCCTTCTAACACTTTGCTTTCTAAAAAACAGCCAGCAGACTTAAGCATGATGTACTGAAGTTATGCTGCAAGGTAAAAAAATGAAATTATTCCTATTCAATAAGCAACCCGAGCTACACCATGAGTCCAAAGCTGAATAATCATAACATTGATATGATGATGACAGATCGCTACCCATTGTGCTAAGCATTTTATACATATTATTTTATTGAATCCACATATAACTCTATGAGGTGCTGCAATTAGCAGCCTCATTTTACAAATGAGGAAAGCAAGGCAGAATATGGTTCAGGAATTTGTCCATGGTTCACAGAGCTAGTAAGTGCCATGAAAGCCTGCAAGTATTAATTTGCGAAGGCTGCTGTAACAGAATACCACAGACTAGGTGACTTAAACAACCAAAATTATCTTGCAGTTTTGGAGGTTAGAAGTCTGGAATCAAGGTGGCAGCAAGATTGGTTCCTCCTGAGGGCTGTGAGGGAAGGATCTGTTCCAGGCCCCTCTCCTTGGCCTATGGATGGCCATCTTTTCCCTACATCTCCTCACGGCAACTTCCCCCTGGACATGTCTGTCTCTGTGTCCCAATTTCCCATTTTTATAAGGACCTGAGTCATATTGGATTGTGGCCCACCCTAATCCTCATTTTCATTTAATCACCTCTGTCATGACCCCATCTCTAAGTAAGGTCACATTCTGAGGTACCAGGGTTTAGGACTTTAGCATATGTACATTCTCAACTTATGATGGCTTGACTTACAATGGCTCGACTTAACAATTTTTAAATTTTGATGATGCAAAAAAGATTTCGGCACAGTATTCAATAAATTACATGAGATATTCAATACTTTATTATCAAAATAGGCTTTGCATTAGATGATTTTTCCTAACTGTAGGCTAACATAAGTGTTATGAGCATGTTTAAGGTAGGCTAGGCCAAGCTATGATGTTTGGAAGGTTAAACTTATTAAATGCATTTTCAACTTATGATATTTTCAACTTAAGATGGATTTAAGATGTTTTCAACTTATGATGGGTTTATTGGACTGTAACCCCATCATAAGTTGAGGAGCTTCTGTATTAATTTGGTGGTGGGAGGACACAGTTTAACCTATTACACTGGATACAAACCCAGGTGGGCAGGTCAGTTGCCTGCAGACCTCATACTGGTAAGCATCATGCTTTGCTGCTTCCTGATGTTACAAAATTGTATCATTCTGCAGCCTTTTGATAAGAATGAATGTCAAAACCTAGAGCATGGTACTTGACCTCCAAATCCATTCTTAGAGCCACTGAACAGAAATCTACCCTCTAAAAGTTCTTAGGCTGGAAATGTGCTCCAAGAAAATGTTTATCTAAGCGACTGGTTTCCAGCTTACTAGGCAATTTGGCATTGAGGACTTTTCTCATAAACATTTACAAATATTCTGCTCTGTAATGAAGTTAATCAGTAAACCACATAACCTCTGGCCTCTTTTACTCCTCACCTAGTCTCATTTTCAGTTGCTGTGCATAAGCTCAGAATGGTAATGCAGTTTCAGGGATTAGAAAATCCAATTCAAATTAGTCCTCACCACAGCTACACACCGTCAGGATTTCTCACGGGAATGATGAATGCGAAGGCTGCTAAAGGTAGGACACGGGTCACAGGTGCTCTTGGACCTGTCTGGTCACAGAGCTTTTGCAGCTGGACCGAGGAAATCAGGGGAGTTTCTGTTGGAGATTATAGCAACAGATCCCTGTCAAAGATGGCTCAAGCAGACCCAGAAGACTGGGGTGGGAGGTTAGGATGGAGTGAGTTTTATAGGGTTCTAAGTAGGTTACGTTAATGGGATTAAATCTAAGTATGTTTCCCCTAAAATTTGTTATAGGATAACATGTCGAATTGGCACTATTCTTTCAAGTCAAACATTAGACAGTTCTAACACTGATGTCAATGAACACTTGAAAAAAAACACATTTTAATGTACATTGAATGCAGTGTTTTAAAAATGGCAAGTCCCAGATCCCAGTGGATTATGAAATCTGTTTAGTGGCATGTGACCAGTATTAAAAACTGGAATAGAAGTTATCAGTGTGCCCCTCAAGAAGTAAGGGTAAGTGGTATTTCATGAAAATTTTGTGTTAGTTACATATAGATAAGTGTATACAGAGGTCATGCTATAAAATGTATTTCAGACTATGAGTTGTGGTTAAAAAAAATAATAAAAAGAAATTGAGAAACAAATTTAATGAACTAGTTTCACAGCAAGTTTCTCCCAATAGTCTCTATGACAAATCAAGTAAGTAAAGAGTTGAGCTTTAGGCTTAGGCTATTTGTTTTCTCCAAATTAAAGCATAAGTTATAATTAAAACACAGTATAATATAAATAATATTTTTCTCAAAGCAGAAAATTACCTTTCAAATTTTCAGCAAAAATAAATTCTAGTTCTAATCATTTTTGCAATAATGACAACTGTGAACATATTTTTTGATCACAGACTTGGCAACGTAACATTTTATTTAAAGGTGGTCTGTAAAAGGGACTAACACTGTATTTAGAAATGGAAATTAGTTGGAAGGCTGAGGAGAAAATTTACCATTCACTTCAATTTAACAAACATTTACTATGTATCAGGCATTGTGTTAGGTTCTCAGAAATGAAAAAAGGGGAATATAATTTAATATTTTCCCTCAAAGAGTTCACAGACCACAACAATAACAAAAATGTATTGAGTGGTTAAATTGTGTCAGGAACTATGCAGTTTACATTCTTTGTCTTAGTTCATTGTTATCATAACCTCTCACATTGGCATCACATTATTCCGGCTTTATAAAGGAAGGAACAGGAGCTTGAAGAAGTTCAATGTCTTTCCCAAGTTCATAAACCTAGCCAGTGGTGGGTGAACTGAATCCAGATTTGTCTACTCAGTGGGGTGCTCTTAACTAGAATCTCATACCACCTCAAGTTTAGTGTGGAAGACAAGCCTATAAACAAATAAAAACGATTGTACGTGCTTCTGATAAGTGCTAGAGGGTGTGGGCAGAAGGTAGGAGAGACTAATTGCACCTGGGGGAACTGGGGCAGGCCTCCTAGAGGAGGCGATCAGCTGACCAGGCAGGGAGCGGCACAAAGGCCAGGTGCCAGGAACAGCAAAAAAACTTCACAAATGAAACTGGGTCATCTAGTCAAGAAACCATGGGTTAGGAAATAAAGGAAGACAGAAAAGGTAATTTTTTCCTTCACTTTAATTCAACGAACAATCCTTAAACATTTACTACGGTTGGCATTGTGCCAGGGATGAAAAACTGGAGGTAACCTGGACCCCTTCTCAGGAGCATCGGAAACTAACAGTGAGATCTTGGAAAGTGCCATCACTGTTGCATGAGCCTGACTGATTCTCGCTTTTGGGGGCACAGTGGTTCTGGTCACACACTCCTTAGAGTGCAGTCACTAGCCACATGTGGCTATTTAACATTAAATATTAATTATTTAGAATTACATAAAATTAAAAATTCAGATTCTCAGGATCATTAGCCACATTTCAAGGGTTCAATATCAACATGTGGTTAGTGGCTACCACATTGGTAGATATAGAACCTTTCCTTCTATCACCTCTAGAACCTTCTATAACTTCTAGAACCTTCCCTGGGATGGCATTCTTTTAGAGAATCTATTGAAAGCTAGAGAACCTCTATCCAAACGAATTTTGCTTTCTTTTTAGGGGTTCTCACTCTGCTGGAGTCCATCCATGTGTTCCCATTTAAGAGCTCTTCCCTAAGCTCTCATGGAGAATTTCCTGTCATAAAGGAATCCATATTCTCTACTCCTTGACCGATTGATTCCAAAAAAGGGTTCATAAAATCCAAATTTTAATATAGATTTTTCCTTTTAAACTGTATTAAAATAGAAATAAACTTACTTTTCAGAAGGCATACTCTAAATTAAAATTGAACTACTTCCCCCTTTACATCTTATTCTCTATCAGAGACTTTTATATTGTAATTATTTACTTATTTACTTGTTTTTACCCTAGCACTTGACATCTCTTCCGCCATCCACCCCTGCAAAGGAAAAAGCACACAAATGAGAGAAAGGCTGGGTTCTATAGGAAATATTTGACTCACCAAAACTTTTTCTCAACAACTATATTTTATACTCAGAACTACCTTTTGAGATAGCAAAGCTGAGTGTTATAGTCCCATTTTATAGAAGAAATGGAAACAGAAAAAGTTATGCAGTTGTTTAAGATCTCATTGTCAGTTAATGGTGGAAGTTGTTCTAGTCCAACCACTTGCAATATGTTGGCCATGCAGGTTCTTTGGTTGTAAGTCGCCTACTATTTACCTTTCTACTTTGTGGGGATTTGGTGGGGCACACCATGAAATACTAGAAGAAGTGCTTTGAGAACAGGAGTGTTATTTAATATTATTTTGTATTGTTCTCATATTTTTACCATATTTCATTGTATTAGCATAACATTTATATCTGTGAAAGTTTTCCATTTTAATCTAGATGATTCTAGAGATTGATATGACATTGATATCATTACCTGACTTGAATTGGGACTCTGTTGTGGTTTTTTTATTATAAAAATAATTGTTTTATTTAAAAAATGCTCAGAGATCTTGGAATTGTCATGTGAGGAGGAAAAAAAACTATGAATCTCCATATTATCTGATTCTTGAATTCTATAGGATCCAGATTCTATTGGTTGTTTGATGTGGGGGAAGTTGCTTAACCTTACTAGAACTGTCAGAGAGAAAGTAGGCTGGTGGGGAAGGATAAAATCCAGGTGTAAGTGAAACTAACGCTTTTAGTACTTTTTTAGTTATTTTCAATTCTGTTCACTCCAGAAATTTTAGTCATAGATGGTGATAAAATAGATCAAGATTTTGCTTATATTTTATCATTTATTTTCTTTCTGTGTGATAATTCTATATTTTAGTCTTCCATTTTGTAGTCATAAGACAAGCACCAGTTCCAAAATTTTATGTCTGTTGTATGTACTGATTTAATGCTGGTTATATATGCATTAGTCGCCATGAAAGAAAGGAAATTGGGTTTTGTACAAATATTGTATACTGTGTGCTCTGTCAATCATTTCCTGGATCAAGCAGAAAGCATTCTTTTCAACAACAATTAATATGTATATACTCCTTTTTGCCATTGTAGAAAAGCCCTGAATCCTAATGTTCATAAATTATTAGTCATATACTTATGAAGATTTAGATGTAAAGAAGAACTAGAAGATCATGTAGCATAGAGTCTTCTCTTGGCAGGTGAGCAAAGGAAGGTCCAGGTAGGGTAGGTAAGTTATGTTTTTTAAATGCCATATGTCTAGATTCAGAACCATGACCTGCAGGGTCCTAGAGACCTTGTCTCTTGGGAAGACTTCCCAAGAGAAGCAATACTTAAAGGGAAATTTAGATATAAGTGGGGATTGGTGAGATGAAGCTCTAGGAGGACTGTGTCAAGGAAGTTTCCAGGCTCAGAAATCAGACTGTGGGAAAAGTACAGAGGCTGGAAGGAATGAGGCACATTCCAGGAAACGAGAAGTTGGAATGTGGAAAATGGCTGGAAAAGAAAGCAAGGGTAGGGTTATGCAGAGCCTTGCAGGCCTAGTTACAGGTTATTTGCAAACGAAGGCTATGAAGGGAAGTACAGACTGAGGAGGAAGAGCAAGCCTTTGACTATCATGCTTTTGAACCATCACCTGTCTGAAATTCTCCCAGAGGGTAGCGATTCAGTGCCTGGGGTTTGAGGTCAGACTCCCAAAGTCCAAATCCCAACTACTCAGATAGATAGGAGTAAAGTTGCTTAACTTCTCTGTGTCTCAGGGTACTCATTTGTAAGTAGGGATAATAATGTTACCTACCTCATAGGATTTTGTGAGAAATAAATGAGAAGGTGCCTGGCACTAGGAAGAACTCTATAAAGGTTTTCTGCTTCCAATAGTAATAATAATAATAATAATGGTAATAACATCAACTACCTTTTGATCGCTGTAATGAGCATTCATTTTACACGTTTACCTGCATAGGTCCCCAATCCCTAATTGCCAATTCCATATTCCAAAAGTGCTGAAAACCCAAATGTTTTTCTAAAAGTTTAGCACAAATTCACTTGATGGCAGAACCTGACTGAATGGGTGTGAAACTGATATGAAACTGATATCTTTATTTATTCCACTTAGTGTAAATATTCATACATTTCACTGTGGAAAATATTGCTGTGTTTGATTCTGGGTTCTGTCCCAGACTGTGCTGGGAGTGTTATATAATGTATAAATAGTACTGTATTCTATTCTAAAATCCAGAAAATTCTTAATTCTAGAACACATATGACCCCAATAGTTTCAAATGAGGAGCTGTGAATACATATTACCTTGTTCAATCCTCAGAGTAATCCTTGACATAGATATTTTCATCTCAAGCTTGCTGCTGTAAAAAATGAAGTTCATCAATAGTTTGAGTGATTTGCTCTAAGTCGCACTATTCATAAGAGATGGAGTTGGAATTTTGGTCTAGGGTTGCCTGACAATGCTTTGAAGAATCAGACATATTGGTATACTCTCCTATTTCTTATTTATGTCTTTTTAGTGTTTCACATGATTTAAATATTTCTGTGTTCTAAAGAGCCATAATTTCTGTTTCCAGGAAACAGAAGCATTTTTATAACCTGATAGTTTACTAGTACCTAGAGGTTTTTATACATAAAGGGCTTATTTAATGATAATAATGGTAGTGAGGAGAATAATTATTATTCCTATTTTAATGTCAACTATAATTTATCAAGTATCTGTGTGCCAAACATTTAGCAAAGTGCTTGGCCTGTAATGTTTACATCAACCCAATGAGGTAAGTGTTATTATTCTCTGTTTTATGAAGAGAATATTGTGACTTAAAGATGTTTGCCACATACATATAGTTACAGACCAGGGATTTGAACCCGGGTAGACAGACAGATTCCAGGTGCTGCATCCTTTTTTATTTTTTTTTGGTAAAGCTCCTCTTTTATTTTATAATGATTAAAATAACACATACACATGGCAAAAATTACAAACAGTAAAAAGATTGTATAATCCCCTACCCCAGAAAATAATGCAATAGTATCATCTCCTACAGTAACCTCCATGTAGTTTCTTTTGTATCATGCAGAGATTTGCCTTGCTTACACACACACATATAATGTTTTTAATACCTGCGTGAATATAGACATTGTTCTATAGTTTACTTTTAAAAAATAGCACCAGATAGTAGAAACCTTTCCATATTAGCACATAGAGATCTAAATCATTGTTTCACATCTACAAAATATTTTAGTGTATAGGTGTAACAATTTTTTTAATCAAACTTCTTATAGATGGATATTGAAATTGTTTCCAATTTATAGTTCTTACAAAGTTGCTGCAAAGGAATATTTTTGCAAAAACACTTTTTCATGCATGTTCAACCATATCTCTAAAATAAACTTTCTAGCAGTGGAAAATTTATGCTGGGCTAAAGGGTATTTGAGTTTTAAATGCTGGAAGATATTGACAATGTGCTTTCCAAAAACATTTGTTTTCTCAAAAGTGTGTATTATCAAACTTTTAAAACTTTTGCATTTTTGAGGATGAAAACTGTTATATTGTAATTTCAATTTGAATTTAATTATTGACAAGGTTGAGTGAATTTTTGTATGTTTGTACAACACCTGTGTTTATATTTCTAATAACTGTCCATTCATGACCTTTATCTTTTTTCCCATGGATTGTTGGACATTTTCTTATTGGCTTGCAAGAGTTCTTTACATATTAATAATATGAGTCTTCGATCTGTGTTCTATGCCGCAGATATTTTTCTGAGATTGTAATTTGTCATTTAATTCTACAACTATATATGCTGTTAAAATGTTGTTAATTTTTACATAGTGAAATATTTCAATCCTATCTTAGAGCCCACACTCCTAACCATAATGCTAAACTGCCTGTCTGATTTCTAGAATGATAATGTTAATTCCAGTTTTGTTGTCACTTTTGTTCAGGTGTACTAACAGAACAAGTGGCAGGTCCTCTGGGACAGAATCTAGAAGTGGAACCGTACTCACAATACAACAATGTTCAGTTTCCCCAAGTTCAACCACAGGTTTCCTCATCATCCTATTATTCCAACCTGGGCTTCTACCCCCAGCAGCCTGAAGAGTGGTACTCTCCGGGAATATATGAACTCAGGCGAATGCCAGCTGAAACTCTCTACCAGGGAGAGACTGAGGTAGCAGAGATACCTGTAACAAAGAAGCCCCGAATGGGCACGGCAACAGGGAGAATCAAAGGGGATGAGCTGTGTGTTGTTTGCGGAGACAGAGCCTCTGGATACCATTATAATGCACTCACCTGTGAGGGATGCAAAGGTAAGTCTTTGGTTGGCACTTTTCTCCTTGTTAAGGTTTTACTATCTTGGTTGTTGAAATACCTTGGACTAGATTTTTCCCTTTTCCCAGATAACTTCCCATTTTTTCCTTCTCAGTTTCTACCTCCTCACCTTTGTTGGGTTGTCATAGATGTCTAGGAAAAGCCTGTTAGAGTATTTAGCTAAGATATGAGTTAGCCTTTTCCTTCCTATTCACAACCTCACACGTAGTCAGTCAAAAGGAATTTATTGTTAAATTCAATTAGTTGTGGGTTTTGCTTATTTTTGTTGTTTTTGTTTTAAAGAAACTGTTGAACTAATCTCTTTGAAAATGAAGATCAAGAAGAAAGACTTTATTTAAAAATATTTTAAAATATATTTTCATGCACTTTAGTTAATTAAGAGGTAGAGGAAGAAACTACAGAGAAAGAAAGAAGGAAGTAATAATGGCTTATATTCAATAAATATGCTATTTAATAGATTCATAGATCTATGATAGATGCTATAGGTGAATCATAAAAAAATTGCAATCCATTTAGAATGGATAAAACATGACACATGATATATAAAAATGACTCCATGTAAATAAAGTCCTATGTGATTACTCTTCCAATGTGGGCATGGATAATAAGTTTATAAAGCTTCAAAGGAAAGAACACAATGGACTAATAGGTTCATCTATTTATTGTTTCATTTATTCATTTAACAAATATTTCTAGAACACCTACCACACATTAGGCACTCTGTTAGCTTTAAAAGCTGAATAAAAACTGTCTCTAGAGCAGAATCTGTTGGAGAATGTGCCAAATTGGGGTTCCCAGATGCCAATGATTGCTACCAAAATAAACAGAGGACCTAGTCACATAAAAATGACTCAAGGACACTTCAAACCTTTGAATGTTCAAATGATCAGATTGCGTAATACTTTTGTCGATTCTTAAAAACTGGATGTGATATCGTTAGCATTTTTAAAAATAAAAAAGTATTTGTGCACCACCTTTAAAAATTAAAACATCTATAAAGAAAATTTTAAAGATCTCATTTATGGCCTTTGAAATGTCCTTGAGCTATTTTTGGAAAGTCAAGTTTGTATAAGTAAATGAACTTATAAATTTGTTGAAGGCATAGATTATGTCTTCTCTACCTCTATTATTAACCATAGTACCTAGCACAGTGCCTGGTACATAGTAAATATGGAATAAATGTCTTTTGAATGACATAATGAAAATCCTTGTTCATTGCTGGTACTTAGCCACTGTGTATAAAACTCTACTTTGTAAAAGTACATTAAAAATTTTTACAATACTTAATTCTTCCCCAATTCAAAATAATAAAAAGTAAGTGCTACCCTTGAACCCCCATATCAAGTGCCAATTTTTTTGAGCTGGCAGAGTTATAGAGATCTGCTTGTGTTACAGATTAAAAAAACAAGCAAGCAGGGGGTTGTAATAAGGCTAAAAGGAATTATTAATTTGCTAGAAAAACAAAATAATTTCAAAATGACAAGACTTAGAGTTGGATTTAAATAAATAAAAATAAAAGTAGGTCTGAGGAACCAACTGCCAACCAACAGTAAAGGAGAACTAACTTTGTGGTAGCTCTAGTCAAAAAGCAGCTGGGGCTTTTACTCTGGAAGGCAACATTAGGACAAAAAGATGAAGCTTATGGAATGGCATGTTTGGGGGCTTAATTCAAGAACTAATTTTCTATTGCTAACACAAATTGTTCCAACAATGAAACTGGCTTCCTGCCTCAGGTGATAATGAACTCTTCATTATTACAGGAGTTCAGAAAGATGACAGATGAACAGACTTGAGTTCTCACACAGGAAATTTCTATGGGAAATTGAATAAGTTGGCTTGAGGTCCTTCTTTAAATCCTCTGAATCTGCAGTACCATCTTTCATAATATTCTAATTATCTCAGGCCTATGTGTCTTGTCTTCTGACCAAGTTTGTAAATTTCATAAATTGAAAAATATCTATAATTTATGTAACCCCTCTTATTACTATGAATTGATGAAAGAGAAAGATAGACCAGGGTGTCTAAACCTTGGCACTATTGACATTTTAGGCCGAATAATTCTTTGTTGTGGGGGATGCTTTGCATGTATGGTGGGATGTTTAGCAGCATTCCTGGCTTCTACCCACCAGACGCCTCAACCCCCTAGTTGCGACATCCAAAAATGTCTGCAGACATTGCTAAATGTCACCTGGGGGGCAAAATCACCCCCGTCGAAAAGCACTGAGAGAGACTATTCAGTTAAAAGCACTATTATAATATGGAGTTTCTCAAACTTGAGCTATATATGAGGCTTTCTTGAAGGAAGCTATTTCTTGGGTGCCTATAATGTTGACCTAAATTGCTTTTATCAAATTGCTTGTGCTATTTTAAAAACAAATTTACAAAATTAAAAAACCATAAACAAAATAATAAGGTAGATTATGTGGTTTCGTTGCTCAAAATATTACTAAAGCTCAGATGCTTTCAAGTTTGGTATGCCTAGACCATATGTCATGTGAGGCCTCAATTTTCCACTGCATTCTCTGTTCAAAAACTTGATTCATCCAAACCTTGGTTCACCCAGTGCTCCATTTGGCCATCCCTGAGCTGGGTACCTCTTATGCATATTAAGCTTACCTTTGTTGTTTTCTCATAGCTCTTGACAAATAAATCATTCCTCTTGCTGTTAATGAGATCATGGGCAAAAACAAAAAAGGAGGGCAATAAGTCTGGTGTCATTGTAACATGGTCTTAAAGATAATCCAGATAATGCTATGATTAGTTTTTAAAGACTGTCATAAAATAAAACATGAAAAATTCAATTTAATATGTGTAAAGGACCTATAAAAAAGTGTGATACATAGTCAAAACCCAATAAATGCCTGTTATCATTGTGATGGTCCTAGAATCTATTTACATAGAATGTAGTGGCAATGTGACTATTTTCTGCTTGTTTGATAAATGTTGATGTCCAGCTGATTATCAGATGTTTGGCAAGACATAGTTGACATTGATCTAAATTACCAAAAGGCACTTTGCTTTGTGTAGACCAGTGCTATTCAATCTGTAGTCCTTGGACCAGCAGTATCACTGTCACTTAACAATTTTTAGGAAATATAAATTTGGGGGTTTTACCCCAGACCTACTGAATCAGAATTTCTGAGAATGAGGCCCAAGGATCTGTGATTCAGCAAGCCCTTCATGCTAAAGTTTGAGAACTACTAGGGTAAATAACATCTAAAAAGGCACCTGAGGACACTTATCTGGCAAAGCAGGTTGGTTGTGCGTCATGACTGTGAAACCTGCAAGATGGGAGCAGGGAATGAGGGAATGCTGCTTTCCATGAGGTCATCAGAGGAACAATTCAACAGATAAAAATGTAGCCTACAAACCCAGGCTGGGAAGACACAAAATCCCATGTAAGTCATGCTTCCTGCTTGGAGAAAGAGAAACAGAATAGAACATGCATAGTTCATTCTGAAAATCTGACTCAAAAGGAAAATCTCAATACAAATACTTTTGAACCTACAAATTTCAGTGCAAATTGTTAGATCTGTCTGGATTTTCCCTGGTCCCCTGGTTTCCAGTGTCAAGAATGAGTATTGGTACCGTGTGGAACCAATGACTGAGTGATCACAGACACAGAGCCACCCCCCACAGTTTATTAAAGGAAAGAGAAAGAACCTATATGAAGTGAAAGTAAAGCCACACAAAAAGACACAAGCAAAAATACCTTCTACAGATGGTGGACTGGGTCAGTGAGAAAGAGGACATCTGAGTACACCCTGTCTTTTATATGCGCACTAGCTTGTCCCGCCTTTCTCCTGGCAGGATTGGTTGCTGTTTCCTAGCCTTTTGGGGTGATTGACAGCTTGGTGTTATATAACAGATCACATGACAGGTTACCTAACCGGTTGGTTATGTAACAGTTTCCCTTTCTACCCGTTTGTCTTCCCCAGAATTCTTCACAAGGCTCCACCCATGTTATGCTAATTAGATGGTAATAAGCTCTAGATCAGTTAAAGGTCACTGGGGACTTCTTACTATGTATGTTCCCACCAGGAAACAGTTCCCATCTGCAATTTGGTTCCTAGCACAATTCGGTTCCCACTTTCCGCCCTTAGTCACTTCCTTGCCAGCTGTTTACCCTCCACCAGACCTAACACCAATGACATGCTAATTATTATGGCAGGCGTTCTACATTTTCTCAGGTCTTCACAGCAACTGGGGAAAGTAGGTATTATTGTGAAATGTAGAATGCATTAGTGTTAACTCTATTCATCCTATGCTTCAATAAACATCAGAACTTACTCATCCTATCTAACTGTAATTTTGTACCTACTGACCACTTGCTCCCTGTCTCCACTTCCCCACTTCCCTTATCCTCTCCTCACCTCTATTTTACCCTCTACTTCTATGAGAACACCTTTTTGGATTCCATATGAGTGAGCTCATGTAGTATTTGTCTACCTGTGCTTGGCTTATTTCACTTAACATAGTGCTCTTCAGGTTCACTCATGTTGTCACAAATCGCAGGATTTCATTCTTTTTTATGGCCAAATAGTATTTCACTGTGCATATATACCACATTTTCTTTATCCGTTCATCCACTATGAGCGTGTAGGTTGATTCCATATCTTGGTTATTGTAAATAGTGCTGCCATAAACATAGGAGTGTAGATATCTTTTTGACATACTAATTTCATTTCTTTTGGACACATAACCAGTAGTGAGGTTGCTGGATCATACTAGAGTTGTATTTTTAATTTTTTGAGGAAACTTCATACATACTTTATACATACTTTTTCCATAATGGCCGTACTAATTTACATTCCCACCAGCAGTGGGAATGTAAATATAACCAGTAGTGAGGTTGCTGGATCATACTAGAGTTGTATTTTTACTTTTTTGAGGAAACTTTATACAAACTTTATACATACTTTATACATACTTTTTCCATAATGGCCGTACTAATTTACATTCCCACCAGCAGTGTGTAAAGGTTCCTTTTTTTCTATATCCTTCCCAACATTTGCTATCTTTTGCTTTTTTTGATAGTAACCATGCTAAATGGAGTGAAATGATATTCATTGTAGTTTTGATTTACATTTCCCTGAGGATTAGTAATGTTGAGCACCTTGTGCCCATTTTATAGAAGAGGAAACTGAAGCACAAGAAGTTAATCAACTTACCCAAGGCTTCCCAGTTTGTAAGGGGATGGAGCTTCAACACTACAACTCATAAATCTAACTCTAGTGTCTATATGATTGACCACAAGGCTACGGTGCCTTTTAATGCCCACTAAGTGATCATTCTATTCTTGAGTTATTTGCTCAAGGATAATATTGACTAATTCAGTGGCTAAAAGAAGAAAATCAAGTGCTCCATTTAGGTATTAAGGTATCGGTATTATCTAAGCCAAGAGAATAAACCTGTAAGATCAGTAACCTTGGATGGCTCACCTCCTTAGAAGTGAATTATTTAGCAAAACTAAGTCCTCTTAAGAAGAATTCTGGTGCATGGCAGGGTGAATAGAGTGAGACCAGTGGGCCAAGGACAACCCAACCTTAAAGGCATGTAGAGGAGGAAAAGCCCATTAAGGACTTAGAAGAAGTCAGAGATATGAGGCTACCAGGAAAGTGTAGCAGGAAAGTCTCACAGGAGACAGGGAAACAGAGAAAGTAGTCAGAAGAGAACTGATCTTTGAGGAAATTTATAAAGAAGAAGCTGGATTTGGTCATAAACACATTTTTAAAAGCAGAGAAAGCCAGAGTTTTTTCACTGATTTTGATTTGAGAATTCACCTCCATGGTGTCAGCAAAAGGACAAGCATTATGCAAGGGAGGGGACGAAATGGAACCAGGCAGGGCCTATGTTCTACACCAGCGGTTAGCACTTTTTTTTTCTATAAAGAGATAGAAAGTCAATAGTTTAGGCTTTGCACCGTCACAGCCTCTGTTGCAACTACTCAAATCTGCAACTGTATAGTGCAAATGCAGCCACATACCAGATGGGCTTTACTTGCAAAATAACTTTCCTTTTTTACTTACAAAAATAGGCAAGAAAATAAAAAACAGACAGCGGGTTGGCTATAGTTTGCTGACCCCTGTTCTAAAGCAAATGCTCTTGAGCATTCACATGACTGTTTGTAGTGAGTGAGCACAACACTCAACCCATAGCCCGTATGTGCAAGAAATGCCACCTTAATTTATATAATTGAACTTAATGCAATCTCAAGCCCTGGTGGAAACTTTGTTTTATTCACTCCAGCATTATTCTATTCATCCCTTCCAGACCTTTTCTGGAGTTTAATGTTGCGGAGCATTTGGGTACTGGGTAGGGCTCTTGTCCCCAGGCTGTTGACACAGTCTGGCATCTGTTGGGGTGTTGTCCTATCTGGTTTTCAGACACTAGTGGGAAAGGTCTCTGTGGCACCACCCCTAGGGTCCTGAGCACACTCCTGGCCCTGCCTGTCTGCTTCATTCTGCTCAGATATGTGGGGGTCCCCGATGTTGCCCCAGTGTTGTGCTGGGACACCTGGGTACAGAGAAACCACACAGCCATTCCATCGCTCTATGCCATGCTGGACGCAGGGACTCCTGAGAGACTCCCCAGCTCTACCCAGGAAAGGACACAAAAATCTCTCTGTTCTAGGATCCCAAGTGACATGGAGTTTCTATTGTCTCTTGTTCCACCCATCCTAGAATTCAGTCTGGGCAGAGGGGCATAGCAGGGACAGAGCTCAGGACCCCTCTTAAGTGCCTAACATTTGACTTACTCTTTAATTGTCTGCTTCCTCCCAAGTTGAAGAAATTTTATCTAGTCTTTGGGATTAGGGTGTTTAGGCTTTGGTCAGCCAATAAATAATAGGCTCCTTTGTGCACTTTGTGTGTTCTTTCAAGAAAACAGATGAAAATTGTCTTAGCATAGTGAATGGAGAAAGGGGAAGGGGCTGCAATGAAAACCAGAGGAGCGTAGAGTAGGGTAGAGCACATATGAAAGAACTGGCACCCCTTGCCTGGCTGGTCTTAAGAGAGCTGCTCAGCCAACTTTGTCCCCCACCCCCACCCCCATCTCTTGGATATCTGTGCTCAGCAGATATAAAGCAAATTTCACTCTGTAACTTTCTGTCAAAGGGAGCTTGGGCTTTGAGGTCTGACAAGCACACGTTGAATCTAGGCTGTGTACTTTTTGGCTGAATAAGCAAGTTCCTTAATATTTATCAGTTGGAGTTCAGTGAAATGAAACAGGAACCAACATTTCAAGCAGAAAGGAATTAACGCAGAAGTTGGAAGAGTCAGAGTAACAGGTTCTATCTGAGCCTCCAGGAGATGCTCCATGCCACAGTGCAGAACTGGCCTGCCAGGGAGGTTACTATTCTGCTGCAATCAAGAAAAGAGGTACTCAAGAGGCCATCACGAAACCATTGGCTCCAGGAAGACACCACCTCAGCTGCCATCTAGAGATCAGGAAGCTGCCTTCACTACCATTACTGGCTCCAGAGGCATGGCTTGCCTGCTAAAGCTGCACCTACAAATAATGAATGCCCTGCATGCTGCCTGCCGCTCAATGCCTTCAAAGCTAGCAAGTGGAAACCAGCATGCTACCATAGCAAAACTCCACCATCCTGCTTGCCAGTAGAAACAACAGAAGCAGTAGAGGCACAGCTCTAGCCTCATTTCCCCTTTCCAAATGTCTTACAAGGGCATCTCTACAGCAAAACTTAAATCATATCTACCAGGTTAGCTGCAAGGGAGTCGGGAAAAGGTTGTGTTCTACTTTCCCACCTCTATGGTACAGGATATGCATTAGATTAGAAGGACGGTGTAGTGGATATAAAGCCAACCAATCCTGAGTCTATGCAATACTTTCCTTCTCTGAGCCTCAAATCTGCAAAATGGGGATATTATCTATTTCACAGGGTGTTTATGAGAATTAAATAAGATTATTATATGTAATGATCTTGCCAGCTCTTTTGCTTTAGGAATTCACTGCAGATCTGTCAGACCTGTGATATTTAAAACAAATAAAAAAAACACAGAGCGAGAGAAGTTTTTAAAAAACTTAGAAGTAAAATAAAGAACATTGTTAAATTTCTTGATTTCATTGTTTTTTATATCTGGTTCCATTAGAAATATTTTAATTTGCGTGGTTTTATTTGTCATAAACATTTACAGCGTCAATGAGAGAAGTTGTAGTTTTCAGTTTTTTAAGGTAATAACTGCAGAACAGAAGCATAATGTAGAGTGACAATGACTGCCATTTGCCTGGCAGTAGATTAAATCAAGAGCTTTCTTTCCCCTTCAGTTATCAGTGCGGCATATGGAAATGTGCTAATGTATGAATGAATTTTGATTCAAACCTCAAACCCCAACCAACAAAACCGATCAGCTTCTAACTGAAAATTTCAAATGGCCGCATTTCCAAATAGGTCAGTGTCTGTCACATTCATTTCAGTGTCAGGAGAGTCTACACATATCAGAGAGAGAATGCTAGAATTCTTAAAAGGCACTGTCTGAGGGAATGCGCAACGCTACTGTCCTTTTGCATATATTTTTAAATAAGATAGTGAACCAGTATTAGACTTAGCTCTAAAGTTTTAGAAAGGCTTCCAAAATTATTGAAACCATTCTAGTATAGAATAGAGGCAGCGTTTCCAAAGGATCCTTTGTTTATGGACATTTGTAAAACCTGAGGAGCCCTGACCTACAGATAAACTTACTGAAATCCTATTGGAGATCAAGGGAGGTCTGATTTTTATAAAATTTAAGAATGATCTTAATGAACTCTGTGGGTCAAATTATCTTAGAGAATGATGCAAAGTGGGGTTCCAAACTATTTCACTGCATTGGAAGCCTTTTGTAGTAAGTGGTATAAACATCGTGGGAAGGATGGGACTCTGAAGACAGACAATTTAGATTCCAATCTCAGCTGATTCTCTGTCTAGCTGTCTTAAGTTACTTAACCTCTCTGAGCTTTAGACTCCTCACCTGTGAAATGAGGATAATAATGAAGATGAGAGGGAGGAGGAGATGATAATTGTGACGATAACAATGGTGACGATGATGGTGGTGACCATGAAAGATAACCTGTGTCAAGTGATTACTGTGTGCAGGTTTTACACGTGATAACTCATTTAATCTTCAGGACAACCCTTTGAGATAGGGAACTAACTACTGGTTGTCATGAGGATTAAATAAGGTAATGTGTGTGAAGCAACTAACACCGTTCTTCCCTGTGATAAATCCTCAATAAATCTCTGCTATTATTGCTATTATCAGTGGGTTTGTTGTGAAGAAAAAAGAAATGAGACATTGTTTTTAAAACACGTAGCTCTGTACTTGGCACACATGAGTGCTCACTAAGCATCAAGCATTTTTATTTTTTAAATGAATTCTCGTTTTATTATTGTTATAATTATAACAATTTGGGTCATACATTGTCTTCTAAGTTCTCCCTCTTCCTGATAATTAATTCAGTCCTTTATCCAGCAAATATTATTAAGTACCAACTTATATGCCAGGCACTATTCTAAGCATGGGAAGTACAGTGGTGGCAAATCAGACAAAATTCTTGCCCTCATAGCTGCCATTTTACAGCA